GGTTTCTGTTAGTCCCTTCCTGGCATTGGGGATGGAGATCAGCCTGAGCCTATTCAAGAAATGACTGGTCTGCAGCACCCAGTGACCTGGCTCCTGAGTTACCACAGCACAGGACAACAAAACCCAGCAGCACCTCTTTCAGAGGTGGTCGGGCTGCTGGGGCTGACGAGCCAGGGGTGCTTCCCAAGCCCCTCCTACCTGGGTGATGAAGAAGTATCTGTAGACGTACATGGAGGCAAAGACCAGGCCCAGCAGCAGCACCAGGAGGCCCATGGTCAGGTAGCAGACGCCGCTGAGCGATGCCCTGCGGCCCTGGGGCACAGGGACCGGCTCCTCCTGTGGGACAAGGAACAGGGACACTGTCACCTGCAGCYCCAGGGAGTGGCACCTGCTGCTGCATGCAAAGGGTTCCTGCTGTGCAGGGAGGAGGGCAGGCACTGCCCGCCAAAGATACTTCACACCTGGCAACAGTAAAACACTCCTTGTGTTCTGCCTTCCTTACCCCAGATACATATCTATAAAATATATACATTATAGACATACGTATTAATATGTATTGAAAAAACCCATGTGCGTGTGTGAACACACACAGACACATGTATAYTCAGCTTCACACCAACTGCTCAGAACAAAGACAAGCTTTGTTTCAGTGAGTGATAAAATTGACCAAAAAGCCCATAAATAAATAAAATCAGGAACTAAGAGTTCCTGRATACTGAAGGTAACAGCATTTATTTATTTATACTCAAATATTTTTGTTGAAATGCTGCCACTCTTGGCAGAATGTCTCATTGGAAATTTTTGTGGTGGGAATTACTTGTCCCAGAGAGGTACCTTCTGGCCCTGCTGGGGTGAGCTGACACAAACAAGATGCACTGATCTCAATTTCATTTTCAGGCACATTCCAGCACAGGTCCCAGGAATATGGACAGAGCATCAAAAGAAAATGTACCTGTCCTTTTCAGAATGCTGCCCAATCTATACAGACAGCAGCCAGCTCACCTTGTCACAGCCCTGGAAACAGAGGGCAGTGCAAAGGCAGGGTTACCTCCTGGACACAGCTCATCCCAACCTATGATGCTCTTGTTTTTACTACCAAAATAACCCTTCAMAATGTTAAGCAGGAGGATGTAAGGCCTTTCAGAAGCAGATGAAAGAAGCTGGTTCAGAGATGCCCCAGTTTCCACACAGCAGAGCTGAAAGCTGCCCTCAGCTGAGCAGGCAGGCAGGGGAGAGAGGCACCAGGGAGGGCTCTTGCAGWTTAACTCCCTCTGTGCAGCAGTGATCTGATGTGTTTGATTAGACAGACACTCTCACACCTAACTGGAGGCTGCTGCAAACAGGASGAACAGGCTGAAGAGCAAACAAAAGCCTCTCATTTCTAAGGTTCATCACTTCTTAAAGGAAGAGATGTTTCTCCAGGGTAACGTGGCCAAAACCCCCAGGGTGGTGCTGGTGCTGAAGCCCCAACAGGAGATGCCCCAGTGCCCCTGCCCAGTAGAGCTTGCAGCAAACATCCCTTTCCCCTTTCCCTACCCTGGAGCAGCCCTTGTGAGAGCAGMAGTTCAGTGCCTGGCTTGGAGGCACATTCCTGTCCCAGCATCACTGAGGCACTGGTGGGGACCCTCCTGCTCCCCCTGCACCTGAGCTCCAYGGAGATGCAGAACAGGGCAGAGCCAGGAGCCCGCAGCCCCTCTCCCMCCTGCTCCACTGCAGCCAACGGGGACTCCTCCACACACTGACTTTTTCATTCCCAGCCACATTCAGCCTGATAACTGCCAAGACCAAATTGTTTTGGGGGAGCTACAATTCCAGCACACCTCCAGGAGAAATTAATCTACATTTATTTCTCCCTCATCCCAGCTGCTGRAAGACCCACAGCACCTCTATTCACTGCCAGTTCCCTGCACTGAAGTATCACTGCAATCAGTTTGCTGCTGCTCCTCCAGCAAATAAAGGGATGAGCAAGCTGAAAAAYAGCACATTTTTCCTCTCCTTCTGCAGACAATGGACAGCAACTCTGACAAGCCACAAAGAACAGAAAAAAAACCCATCACATTACTAGAGGAAGTTTAAAGGCTCTCTGACATGAACTGCCAGGACAGGAAAGTCATGCTGGATGTCAAGTGTTTCACAAAAACAGCTTTCCCCAGATACTTGTCATCAGAGAGGGARTGCAGACAGTGGGGGTGAAGAGGAAGGAAAAGATCTCCTGACACTGAAGCAAGGCTGAGAAAATGTTTAATGCTCTGCAAGTGAACCGTATCCAAAAGGTGCCAGGTTGCCGTGACGGTTAATGCACTGCTCACTTCCGCGGTGAGCTGMGAGTGCTAACTCCAGGGAGGACTTGGAGAGGCTTCATAAGGACACAGCAGCTCCAAGGGCAAAAAAAAATACTCCAACTAAAAGAAAAGCTGTGTTTGAAGAATGGTAGGGAGGGGGAAATAACCCCTCAGTGGTTTGTTACTTGCTAGGGCAGCTCTGTCTTTGTACGACCAAAGAGACAGCGAGACATCCCAATTCTCACTGCCAAAGGAGATGAGTTCTGCTCCCTACAARACATTACAAGTTCTTAAACACTCGGGGAAAAAACCCCAAACAAACCCTCAGATTCTGAGGAAGGAAAGAAAAGAATCAACAGTAATCATTCTGATGGAGCARAAATTAAGGCAATGAGGTTAAAAATGCAGCTGGCTAGGGCAAGTGGAACAGTTAACATGGTCCAGCAAAATAGTGCACAAAAATCACCAGGAAAAACCTCASTAAAAACATGTGTCTCCATCCCCCAGCTCAGCAGATGAAAAGGCCAACAGCCTTTCTCCCTCTGAATAAATGACATTTTAAAAGCAATTATGTCAGTCTGCACCTCGGCTTCAGGCTGGAGGTGTCCCCAGTGCTGAGAGCCCGTGGATGGAGCAGTGCACAACCCACTTTAACAACACTTCACCCAGGATAACCATTCATCAGCCTGGAAAAATCCAAGAAGCTTGGTCCACAGGCTGCTGCCCTGCTCAAACTGCCATGCACCTCCCTTCCCACAGGACCCCACTCCCTGCAGTAGAATTATTTAAAAACCAGGGTACTTTAAAAACCAGGAAATCCATCRCAGCTGATTTCCATCTGTCCTGACTTTGGAACACCTGGCTCCCCAGCAAGGGGAGAATCAGACTCAGCATCAGGGTTTTCCTGAAGAGCAGATCATGCCTTCAAGATGTGCATTTCCAAAGGACAAAAATCAAAATATTAACACACAAAAATCCTGTACATTCACCAGATATTTAACACTATTCTAGAAGTCATTAACCAGACACACTGTTTGCAACAAGTCACCCTACTAATTTTCTGCCTTGATCTAGACTGGGTTTTTTTTGGCCAAGAGGAATGGGACAGGCTGGGGTTAAACCTGTCCCTGGGCAGAGGCAGGGACAAATATTTCAGCGGAGTAAATATGTTTTCCTCTTTTGACTGTTTTAAATACAATATTCCAAGAGCTGGATATATTTTTGACAGAACATAAGGCCCTTCCTCCCCTCCATGGGCTGTGCAGAGGACAAACACTCATTTGCCTCTCCGTGAATGAACAGATGGAAAACAGCAGCAGTGGCAGAAGGGTGCCATGTCCACGGTGCAGGCACTGCAGATGTGCAYGGGGAAGGATGCACAGACAGAGGCACAGCTCTGCCGAGGATCCCACTGCCATTTCAGRGCAGGGAAACACTGCCACTCCATGCAGTGATCCTTTCTTTGCTCCATTTTTCTTGGCACTGCCACCTTGCTGACCATCCAGAAAGGGCTGGGCCAACCCCCTTTCCAGTGGACAATTTCAGAAGAGGCAGTGGGCAGAGCTCCTTACGCTGTGAAAGCCAAGAGGAAGCCACAGCTTGCTCTTCCCCTGCATGGGCAATGGCTGAAAAAGCACCCATTTGTCAAGAAAAGCACCTGCACACCATTTTCCCCCTGGCATTGCCCTGCTAATCCTTCATTCCTCTGGGAAGAGTCAGAGGCAGCAGCACACACAAGCCTGAGCTATCAGACATGCTGACTCTGCTCCAGTTTGCAGGCACGACTGCTTTCAGCAGCAGACAGGATATTGGAATATAAAAAGGAATTCCTTTCCTTGGATTAGACGGGCTCTTCACTGTGACTCAGTGCCCTGCTGGCTCATGGGGCCAGCACAGGAACAGGGAACAGGCAGCAAATACCCAGATGGGAAAAGATGCAGGGATGACACAGACATGGGGTAGAGGAGGCTTGACAGTAGCCTGAGGAGTGGGGAAAAACCCTAATTCAGTCTTTGTGGGTTTTGTTTGGGATTTCAGGTCTGCTGAGGACATGACAAAAATAGCTGATGCCCGGTTATCCCTAACTGGTGCTGAATGGTTAAGAAACAATTCTACAAGAGGGTGGGGGATAGAAACCTGGCTGGGCACAGTGTCTGGTCCAGGTTTGGAAATCAAGTTCAAAGGCCACAGTGAGTGAGAGAAGGGAAATGCCCCAGGCACTGACTGCTGAGCAAACCCCCCCAGCAGCACAGCACTGACCCTCTGGACACACAGCAATTGGAGGAGCTGCTCACAAGAGCCATACCCACTGAGGTGCTGCCTTTGGACTTTCTCCTTAATACAGCAGAAGGTTTTAAAAATAGAAATGTGACATTATTGCTCTTTCATCACCCATGTCTTGCTGAAGATGACAGAAGTGAGAAAATTAAAAGGTGTCATGTCATGCCCTGATCCCTTCCTGAGTTGCACACTGCCTCGGCTCAGCTCGTGGCCCTTTCCTGCTTCTTCTGCTTTAGAAACAGCCCTGAGTCCTCCACAAATCATTTTCCCTGCATTTCTGAAACACACAGGTTTGAAATCTTTCACTTTAGGTGTAGCAGAGCCTGACAAACAGRGGACACAGATTGGCAAGTGTCTAAATATACACCCCCAACAGGAAAAGAAGCGTGGGGTGACTAAAAATAGTAGATGTGATTTCAATGAGTGACAAGTGAGGAGAGAAATGCAATGCAAAGGGATGCAGTTTGGAGAGCAGTGCCAYCTAAAATATGTCATTGCTCTCTGGGACACTGTTCAAGGGAGCATCAGCCTGAGCTCTCAACATTTGATGCACTGACATAAGTGCAGACACTGCCATGGCTTCCTCAAAGGATGACAGCTCCAAACTTAAGAAACCCTCATCAGAACAAGCTAACTTACTGTTTGCTCATTTCTGGTAACCAAATGCCAATATGGACTATGGGAAAAGGAAAAAAAAAATCAGTTCAAGGTCTCTAGCTCCTGCACATATTCACAGCAAAATCAGTTACTGCTTTACAAAACCTAAGCACTTGC